AATATAAAGCGGTAAAACTTCTATCCAGACCTTTTCACGCAAAAGTGAGGGAAATTAAAGCCCAGGAAAGTGAGAAGGCTAATACTAATGCTATTCTTCAAATCTTAAATATCTTACGAAATATGCAACTAAACAGCCAAAATGGAAGCAGGAGATGCTTTAATTGCGAAAGAATCGGGCATCTCAAAGAACCTGTAGAAGCATGGCTCATTCTATAAATCGAGATTTAGCGAATGAGACCGGAAAATCATATAGATCAATCTTTCCAAGCCCATCACTAAGACCAACAAGAATTAATTACAGCAGCTATGCGTCCCGAAGAAGCCAATCACTTACCCCCAGCCGGCTTTCTAACAATAACCAGAAAGTAGAACATCGAAGAGGCCTCCATAGCAACGCAGATATTCTCTTCGGGCCACCCCGTTTAGAGGAACAATGCTGGTATTGTAAAAGGTTCGAAAAACGAAAAGAACCGGTTGATAAAGTTAATCTTCGGGCAACCACTATCAAGCCAGAGGGCGACGAAGAAGAAATCACCCTTGAAAGTCTGAGACAGGGACAGAAGAAAGACAATGACTTAAAGGTTGTCTGAGAACGGCTCAAAAATAAAGTCGCACCTACTTGGCAAGAGATAGCCAAATACAGTGGAACTATTAAAGGCTACTGGACCCAGTGGGATTCCCTGTATCTTCACGATGGCCTATTGCACCGGAAGTGGAAGAGCCCCATGTAGTCCGCCAAAAGATCATCTGAATTGGGGCGTGGTTCAAAGCCCACTTGTACTGAAGCTCTAGGCTTATTGTACCCCTCATAGTTTCTATCCCATCAGATTGATTTTCTTGATGGGCGCTGTCGCGATTTCTTCAGGTTCCGGATATTGTATCCCGAAGTACCATTCCCGTTCCCATTTAAGGTTCCGGCAGTGGCATAGTATGTGAATAGGAGTTTCGTCCTCCTCTTCACATGTTCTGCATAGGGAGTCATCAGATATCCCTAAGAGATTAAGGTGTCTTCTAAGGCCGCAGTGTCCCGTAAGGAGTCCTATTACGGCCTTGAGTTCGCTTCTGCTAAGGTTTAGCAGTTGATGTTGTCTGCTCGTGGATGGCCCCTCTTTGAATCTTTTGCCGTCAAGTGATACTGCCGCGGTCACAGGTGAGAAATGTATTGGACGAGCTTCATAGTAGCCGTTCAGGAGGACACTTTGGTACTAAAAGGACACTGGCACGAGTTCGGGAAAAATTTTATTGGGTCAATTGCCGATGGAATGTAGTAAATTGGTGTAAAAAATGTGGTGTATGCAATGGAAGGACAAAGGTCTATGGATTCGCTCGGAAACGACTGAAAGCCCACACCAATAAAGCAGAAGCTAGAATCGACAGGCGTGCCATAGATACACATTTTGAGAGGGGCGACAAGATATGGTTGTGCAATCCCAAGCAGCGAGGAAGACTTCGTCAGAAATCGCAACGGAACTGGGAAAGTGTGGAGAAAATTGAAAATGTTCAAAATAGGAAAAAATACATATCCAACAGCATCAGAAAGAATAAAGACACATTTAGCTCTGAATATGTTGCAATACCTAAAAATCCCGCAGGATTAAGAATTTTTAGTCCGGAAAATAACTATTTTTCGGTGCAAAATTTAAAGGAAAGAAGCAACTGTATAATATTCCGGTTTTATATAAAATACTTACAACTGATATAAAAACAACAGAGGTTCCCTAGTCGAGCAAATATTTTCAACTTTTCTCATATTTTTTCCTCATAATGCCACTTTAAAATGCTTATGATATGCCATGAGATCCTTCCTCTTTAGAAATTTGCATACATGTTTCCATACATATCTCAAGGAATTTTGATGTCATTTTATTGCCTTCGTTGGCTCGACATAACAAATTTGTTGCAACCAAACCGTATAAGATGCAAAATCCAAGAACCGAATGTGGAACATAATTTTACACGTGTGCTTCCGAATTTGTCGTATTTGATCTGAACTCCACGAATCCTTTCAAAAGTTTTGTTAGATGGAGCTATTGCTCAGTAATAAGTTTCAACGAAAAATCCTTGGAAATAATCTAAAATCCAAAATATATAGTAGCTCAAATACGAAGGTTATTCAATAAGAAAGTTCATTTGATTTTTTTTTAATATAGTTAAAATTGCTACAATTATGAAAACAGAGAATATCAATGCTTATGAAACAACTAAATTAAATTGTACAAAGAAAATATTGAGTTGTTTATACAAAGCTTAATGGTAAATAATACTTTACTCAACAATGCAAAAAAAATCCATTATGAATAATATGAAAAATAAAAAAAACGTATTTAAAAATACAAAAAAATCCGTCGTACATAAAAAGTTTTGTAGTAAATACAAAAAACGTTCCATTTTAAATAGAAAAAATGGTCTGTTGTTTATACAATGCACCGTTGTGAATACAAAAAAAATAAAAGATGCTTTGTCTTAAAATTACAAATAGAATACCCTCTACTCTATTCAATAAAAAAGGTCTATTAAAATTAAATACGATCCCTTTCAAAATGTACAAAAAACAAAAAATCTTATACTGCTGAATAGGGAATTAAAAAGCCTTTAAAATAAGGTATTACACGCTACCCCTTACCATTTAAAAAAATTAAGGGGGTCTTTTACTACGAAGGGGTTAATGAGGGAGATAAATAATTTTGTTCAGAAAATGTCATTTTAGAAATAAAAATCGACCTGTTCAAGGACTTTCCTCAAAACGTAATAATAAAGCCAATAATTAATATATTTCATAAATATAGACCACCCTGTATATCTACTTAATAGGTACAACCACATACTTTGATTTTCTTTCACTATACGGAGAATGGTCGCCACATACTTTGATTACAGTTCATCAAATTTCTAGAGGCTTTCGACGGCTAGACAGAGAAAGCACTAATGACAGGCATCCCGACGGATTTACGCAATGAAAGTACACTCTGCGCATCAAGTATTTCACTATTTCATTCAGACGTAAATGTCAGATGTAAATTTCGCTAAAACATTTCTTTTATTTTCGTTTGTGTTTTTTCATCATTACAGTTTAATGGAACCTAAGTATGGAGTTTAATAGCAACTTAAGAGGCCGCGTGATTAACAGTCAATCTCGCGAAATAATAGCCAATGTAATAGAGTTTATGAGAAGAGAAGGAAACTTTAATTTACCTTCAATACCATTTAAAAATGTAAATGATCGTGTTGTTGCAGCCACTGTCGTCCGCATTTCTGGAGAGAAAAAAAGAATCGATAACCGTGAGATATCGGAATTTTCATCACCAAGAAAAACCATTAAAAAACCAAAAACAGTTAATGATATAGATGAAGCTGCACAAGAATCAAATTTTATTTTTTTATTATTAGATAGCTATTTTTGTTTCTGAGTTGTGTTCATTTACAGGCTCAATTTTTTTCCGTTTCTCCTTTTTGATTTTATATGGGGTTTCAAGTTGTTTTTGACTTATTTCGACGTAAATCACAACAACACACTTTTTTAATAAAGCAAACAAGTGTTAAGAGGTATATGTACGTGTAAACTACAATTACAAAAAATTGATATGAATCCCATGAAACCACCAACAAAAATGTAAAGCTAGCTTCCGTACTAGAACATGGTGTCATTCGTCGAGATAATTTATCGTTTTGTTTAATAGATCAAGAAATGTAAATATTCCCCTGTTATTTTTTATAAAATTATAAGAGAAATAAATTTTTTTCTAAATAGTATAGTTTATTATTTTGTAGAAAAACAAAATTTCGAAAATTTTAGTAATGTTTCAGAAACAACCATTATTAATAATAGGTACCATTTTCCTTAATAAGGTAGAAATAAAATATAAACTATTTCCACGATTTACAAAGGCCTACAAAAAAATTATAGGTATTTTCCACTATCCTATAAAATTTATATTTTCTGACTCAATTTCAAAAGGTTGAAGGAATTCCAAAACACCTTTTATGGCATAATAATTATTTTCAATTCTACATACTATCTTTAGCTGCTTTTAAAAACGTTCTAAGAAAGTCCAATCAGACCAATTTAATCCCTAAACTATTCCACACTTTTAAAATTTAATTACCTAAAAATATTAAAAACTATTTAAAATAACTTGTTTAGCAGACTGTACAATAGCTATCTTAGTCACACGTAGCGCGTTCTCTGTCTGGGCGTCGAACACCTCTAGAAATTTGATGAACTGTACTATACGAGGCAAGAGAGAGGTCCGACATCACATACTTTGATTACTATACGGGGCAAGAGAGAGGTCCGACACGCCCAACATAGGGCGCGGCCATTTTGAACCCTGTGACACAGTTTACAGCTAAAGAATCAGATCGCTCACTCTGCGTCGGCACTTTTGATCTCAATGTTTCAGTTTATACACTGTGCAACTCGGATAATACAATATATGACAACCGCCTCTAGTAAAACAGCAGTCTTCTGCGTATCCTGAATTTGTATCCCTGGAGTGGATGTTATTTTGGAACTTTCAACTAGTCCGAGTGAGCTAACTGATTCTTTAGCAATAAACTGTGACTTCAAAAATAATATTCACTGACACTGACAGCAGCAAGCAAAATATTAGGTGCGTTTTAATCATCCGCTTCTGCTTCCGGAATTGTCGGTTTAGTCGTTTTAACCTGTCAGATTAAAACAAGAAAATCGACAATTCCGAAGCAGAAGCGGATGATTAAAACGCACCTATTAAAAATATTGCGCAAAGATGTAGGCAACACGTAATAAGGGTTTCTATCTCCTTTTAAAAGGCACTCAGAAAGCTGCGCAGTGCGACCATTCTCCGTATAGTAAAAGAAAATCAAAGTATGTGATTAAACGTGTACGCTGCATACGGGCGTTAACCAAATAAAAACATGGCATCGAATATGGAAGGATATGTCGCAACCCCCCTAGATATATCAACCTTGTATGATCTTTTTTTGTTCTAACAATAAATCGAATTGACAGAAATTACACCCCATAGAACTAACATTACTTCACAATGACATTTACTGTTAACTTCAAATTAATAAATAAGCTATGATCAGCATTTGAATCAAAATCCACATTAGTATTTTTAAATTTTATTTGGATATGAAATGAAATTATCACAATGGTTTAACATAATTCTCATCGTACACGATATGGCTCTGAATGTTACCAAGAGTATCGCAGGCTACATTTGGAATCCTTCGAAAATCTTTTATTCCAATATTTGTGACTGCTCCAAGAAACCGAAGGACTTAGTTCCAAAGTCGTTAGAAGATAAGGTAGAAGTAAAAACCAAAAGAATACAAATAAAGGGAGACCCGCGAATACATTTGCTAAGACCAGAACAGGATTGCTTGAAAGGTAAAATAGCTAGGATTACAAAGCCTACGAAAAACTGTATGCAATCAGGCACTGAGAATACTCGCTTGTGGCAAATACAATTTGAAGAACTAGAAAGATGGGAAAATCCTTGCATGGGATGGGGTTCTTCCGGAGATCCTGTTTCTAGTCTTAAAATAAAATTTACTTCCAAAGAACAGGCGATCGCTTTCTGTGAAAAAAACAACTGGAGATGGTATACTGACAAGAGCCAAGAAAAGAAGCGTTCTAAAAGATCTTATGCGGATAATTTTTCTTTTAGAAAACGATCTCGTGTTAGTACAAAGTAATTTGTGATATTAGTCATGTGTTTTGGTTTTAAAGTAATTATTGTAGTGTAAATAAATAAATAATGGGTGATTAGTGGTAAGGAGTAAATTTTAGTATCCAAATTTTTCTATCTTCAACAAAATTGAACTGGGGAATTATAGAATTTTCAAACTGCCATAATAAATTTTGGCTAACCTGCGTAGACTGTTCAGGCGAGAATCGGCCTGTATGTTTAAATTACAGCCATCAAATTTTAAATTTTTATTAAAACAAAAAATACTATACGTATGTTTATACAGGGTGTCCAAAAACGATCTTCAAAGAATGAAACCACGAAATCTAGAGCTGATTTTATGACGATTTAGCCTAAATTTTTCTTATCCAAAAATGCTTCCTAAAGGATCTCTTAAATCGGTTTAATTGAAATACCTTCAAAACGGATTTTTATTAAATGATATTATTCTGTACATTTATTTATTTGAATTTAACCAATCAAATTTCGTAAATAAGATTCTTTTAATAAGCAGTTCGTTTAGGTGGGTTATTGGATATTTTTATGTTTTTTTTTTTGTTTTTCGATAAGTCGCCATTTTTAAATGAAATTTAAAAAACATCGTAATTTTTACACAAAAATGGTGCTCTTGTGTGAAGTCTCCATGATCAACCGTTTTCGAGAAAAATCAAATTAAACTTTTCATGTCTTTATATACGTTTTCATTGATTAACAAATAAATTTCAAAATTATGATAAGGTGGCCATGGGAAATAAACAAAATGCCTAAAAAGCATAAAATCAGCTCTATATTTTAGTACGAGAGCTAGCAACGTTTCCGAGAAAAAATTTTAGGTCGATTGGTCTTTTGATATTTATTTTCTTATTGAAGCTTGGTAGGTATACGGCACATCTGGCTGCTGTGAGTGGTTGCGTTTTCTTCTGCGCATCCTATTTGTACAGGTACAAATTACGTATTTTCAAATCATTTTAGGTCAATTTCTTTTTTATTCATTATTTTCTATATCCTTTCAGCAATATAAATGTAACGTGCCATACAGTTTTGATGTTGTTAACTCCGTGCCAGATTCCATTTTATTAATAAAAAAAAAACAAAATTTCAAACCATTTTAGTATGGCTGAAATTTTAATATGATATAGTGATGCTATTAAAGAATCTAAAATTAATTTTCCATACAGATATTCTGTTGTTTAATAAGAGCCAGACCGATTTAAGTCTCGGATAAATAGGAAAGTGCAGTAAGTTATGAGTCGGTTCCGCGAGAGATATAACTGCGACAGGAAGCGTCAGGAGAGAGAGGGAGAGAGAGGGAGAGAGATGGAGAGAGAGAGGGAGAGATAGAGAGAGAGAGAGAGAGAGAGACAGATAGAAAAATATTTAAAAGTTATTTAATAAAGATTAGAATTTAATCACAGAAAGAATAAAATTAAATGAAAAATTTAATAACACATGGTATTTGCAAAATAAAAACTTAATTTTTTATTTTAAATATTTTCTCAATCACATACAAATTATAATTAAATATATTTATTCTATTATGGTGTAATAAAAATAAAGCATCATCATCGTCACTACTTTCATTGTGATCATTGCTTTCATCATTGTCAGAGTTGTCTTCAGGTATATCGTTGTTTTCTAAAACTTGACTATCTGTAAAGAAAAATACTAATTAAATTAAGGAGTGTAAGTAAGTTGTTACATGTTTGGTAATTTTTTTTTATTAATATTTACCTTGAACTATAATATCAGCAACCAATGATGTTAATTGGTCTCCAAGGAACCAAACAAAGTCATATTTGTTGTCGTTCATTGTCCAACCGCAAAGCTAGTGGTGATTTTAACCTATTTTAAGTGAGCATTTCTCAAAAACTTTGTCACATAGCGAACTCGTAATAAATGTTGTAATTCAACTTTACAAGGAGGTAGGCTTGATGGATCGAAATTCTTATTTTTTTTTCTAAGTTGTCGTTAAAATTTGTGGATCAATAAGTAGTAGAAAATAAGTGAAATCTAAAATCATTGATATTGCTACTATTACGAATTCTATACATATGACAAACAAACTTCTCTAAGGTGACAAATGCATCCTTTAGTATTTTGGAATGCTAATTCATAATCTACCGATTCTTTCAATAATTTGAAAGGCTTGAGTTTGCCTTTACGGAAAAATACTGGTGTGTAATTACATTCAGTCATTGCGTGGAAACCCGGTAGAGCTTTATATATAGTACTGCCCAGAATATTATACATATCATTGATGTTTACATATCGTTGATGTTTTCCAATGCCCATATTAATCCAAAGTTTTAGGGAAGCACTTAAATGGTCCATATTTCCAAGAAATATGAGTCCGAACACCTTATAATAACGTCAGCCTCAAAATAAATTTGGAAAATGTGATATATAAACCTAGAATCTGCTTCTTCGTGTTCTTCACATGATAATAAATAATCTTTGGTCATAATTACGTTATTATCTTCAACCTGATAGCAGTAACACTCGTTTAAACTTCAGTAAATTGTTTTATTACCAATAAAAGGTGCCATGTCGTCAGTAGACCAGTGTTTAATAAAAAATTTAACTAGAGCTTCCTTGAATTGAATATTTTTGAGCTGAGCAGTAAAGTTATGAGGTCTGGCCGATTCATCCGTACGTGTACGCTCACAATCTTTAATTGAGGGTGTAAAATATTGATCAAATATAATGTCAATGCGACTTGCTTTAAATTGAGTTATCATGCTGAGGACCTTTTTAGATAACCCATTAAAGGTTTGAGGTATTTCTTTCATTTGGTGTAATATGAAGAAGCCATCTAGTATAGCTATGTCGAAACACAACGGATGCTTATTGATATTGTCTTCCATTGTTTTCTCGATTATTTTGACAAACTGTGCTTTATCTGTTTTACAAATAGTTCCATCAACATGACACATGGATGTTGGCAAAGGCGTAAGTGGGAATGAAAGTAATTTTTTAATATCAAACTTATGGCTTAGAGATATTCCCAACATTCGATCAAATATGTCTCTTTGCATTCTCAATTCAACGACTTTATTACCAAGAGTGAGTTTTTTTGTTTTCGGAGCAGCAGCAGCAGCAAAGTTAAGCACTCGATTTTTTTTAATAGGTTTGTCGAATCCCTCTTCATTATCAGCACATTCGTTGATGAACTGTTTTCTTAAAATATCGCCATTCTTTTCAATATTTAGTAAACATCTGCAGTAGTAGGGTTGGCAGTAGCAATATTATAAAGATTATCTCGATCTAAACTTGAATCGAATGGATTAAAATTGTTCTCAAATATATTAACAAGATCTGTTACTTGTTTTGCATAAATTTTTATTCTACTAGGTTTTAAATCTGCAGTAACGTCTTGATATTGTTTTAACCCACAAACATCAAGAACATGAGAAATTAATGCAGCTCTAATGCTGTGGCTTTTTGTCCAGCGTTGACGTGTTGCTATAGAGTTTGTAAAATATGAAATTTCACTTAATCATCTAGCTGCATCAGCATTAATAGTTTGCTCCAATGAAGAATCTATTGGTATTCTGGAAAAATACTTTTTGGTTCTTTTAGTTCCATAGAAACATTTCATAAAATCATCTTCAAGTCCTGAGTGCGTTTCGTTAATTAGTGACTTGTAGATATGTTTGATTGCATTCATTACCTATTGCTTGTGCCTGTTCCATTGTATTTACCACAACAGCTGTATTGATAGGTAATAGATTAATGGGTGTTAAATATGAATCTCTTCATTTTATGCTATTTTCTGGTAGTAGCTTACAATTGAAACCTGTCCACATTGGAGTGTTTGGTACATGAAAAAAATGTGATACCAAGTGAAGAAGATCAATTGATTGCATTTATGTAAAGTTTTCTGGTAAATTAGATTAATCTTCCTCAACCAGTTTTAAACGTCCAGACATCCTTAATCGTTTAGCATATTGGGAACAATAGGACCAAAGGTTCTTCTTTTTTTTTATGGTCCTGGTAGCGTTTCTTCAGAATTATTACTAGCATTATCCACATTCAATTCTTCTTGGACATTATTATTAACATTTTGATATATAATTCCAACAGTGTCGTGTAAAGTTTCTTTTCCATTTAGGGTATCGACGAATCTATCAAAATTATCGAATTCCACAGCTGTACATAATAATGGAGAACGGATAATGTCAGGAGGACTTATTTGTGAACTATCAACAGATGCTATTGTTGCTTCAGTTTCAAATTCTTCCACCAGGGTGTTATAGTTACAGCAATGTCCAAATCTATTTAAAATAATAATACCTTTTCGACTATTTGTAAGACTTTTTATAGTGTTATAAGTTATGAGTTTAGACAGTATAACAGTTCCACTATTGACACAAAAAATAGCGTCTGAGGCCATTGAATTAGCCAATCTGTCACAATTGACACCATTTCTTCGATGAATATATTTACCTGCAATAAAGACTTTATAAAACCGCTCTAATTTCTCTGGAATGGAATACTCACTATTAATTAAATCCTCCACCTTAATTTTTGATTTAAATTTAAATTTATTAATATTTAAAATTGTTTTTCGTAGGTATAATGCTACCTTTTCAATACAATCATTCTCTTCAAGATCTGTTAAATCGTTTTCTTCTTTTAAATTACTATCCATGTGCATATTTTTTTTGTATTTTTCCTTTGAATTTAAATGGTCTTTGGAAATTTTTTTAATATTTTATTATCAAGATTATGAAGAGTCATATAACTTGATTCCGGTAAAAATTGTTGTTTTAATTCATACTGCAAGTTACTATTGTAAATGTCACAAAGCAATGATAATAGCAAGCAACATTTTTTTATAACCTCTGCATCAATTAAAAACATAATATTGTCAATTTTTTTTTGTGAATATCTGCATGCCATGTAGTACGTGGATTATCTTTAAATGTTTTATTGTAGTTATTCGTGTATGCTAATTTACATAAATGATGGTAAAAAACACTCCCACCATCAGACATTTCCAGGTCGATGGATTGGTAGAAGAGGTGTCATTGAATGGCCCCCAAGATCGCCAGATTTATCACCTTTGGATTTCTTCCTGTGGGGTCACTTGAAAAGCAAAATCTATGCTACTCAGCTAACATCGTTAGAAGATTTGCGACAAAAAATTGTAAATGAGTGCCTTCAAATTGCTCTTTAAATATTGCAAAATATGCGGCAACGTTTTCAGCAAAATCTTTGTTAATGCATGGAGAGTAATTGTGGTCATTTCCAACATTTACTTGGCTGACGGGTCAGTTCATTCTTTATTCTTATACTACTTTGCTTCTAAATGTTTCGATCTGCACTAATGATGATGTATTAAAGTCTACTTTGAGAAGTACATGAATTTTACATCATTATAAAGGGAATTGAAATACCTTTCAAATATTAAATGATTTGACTCCCTTTCCAATTTAGATTTTATGGATGGTGCTACCCCCACCTAAATGTCTCTGTTTCGTTTTTGATGATTCACCCTGTATATATCAACCAAATTGTTTTATAAATAAATTGCGATTTCAAGTCACGACAAATGGAGAATTTAAAGATTTTAACGCTGATTATTACAAAACTGATGTGATAGCACCGCTGGATAATAAGATTTCTTGTCAAACAGCCACTGTCTATAAATTAATATGATAAACAGCCAATCTAAAAAAAGTTAACTTACCTATATGGAACTATCGGAATAAATTGATACTGACCCTCGTCAATATCAAAAGAACCCACGACATGATGTGATACAATTTCGGTTTGTAGGTTCAATTTTCTAGGATATTGTTGAATGTTTATTCTCTCAAGACCAATAATAGCGTACAATAAACGGATTGTATTTTCTGTGGAATAATACTTACATTTTGTAAAGCTATCATTCTCAATTGCTCTTTCTATCATCATTTCACAGAATTTCGTCCGTGTAAAATGGTCTTTGGGAAAAATGTTTAGTATGATTTGGTTTTTATAACATTTATATTCATTTCTCTACGAAGTTTTCCATAAATTTATCTGGTTCTATTCAATTTGTCCGATTGAGTTTGGTGTAGCTTCTGCAAGTTCGCAAAATTTTATTTCTCTAATTTCCAGGAGCGACGTTGTCTATTTGTTGGACATTTTTTCAACGTGCCAGTCAACATTTTCACATTGGTCAATATGAATAATATTTCTGTTGAGATTGGTTTATAATCAGAAGCAAATGTAAATGTATTGTTTCTTGTAAAAAAGTAAATTATTAGCCATTTTACTGATTGTGCTATGTACGTCATCACTAATATGAAATTGACAAATCTAAAGCATAATCAGTGGTGCCGCCAAATTTACAAACTACCAATGTAAAATTATATTAAATAAAAATAATAATAATTGAAATTTTTTCTTTTATTGTATAATATAGGACACTATTCTAGAATAGGTTACTAAGGATTTTGTTACTTTAAAAAGAGAGAATTTTAAAATCAAACCTCGAATCAAACTATCTCTTCAAGCTCTGGAATACCAGAGAGTTCAATAAAACAACCTATTGCTCTCAACATTACCATTGTAATATAAAGGTCTTCAAAAATTAGCAATATAGTTTCTATTTTCTTCTTGTGCAATAATTTCAGCAGGGAGCTGTAAAACCCTTGATCTACAGTTACTACTGTTCGTTTACCTGGTGCTTAAGATAGTGCCTAACCTTTTCAAACCTATTTAAAAATGTTATTTGCGCTAACGTGTCCATGAGTGTTATATTTTGGATTGGTAATAGGACAATTGTTGTTTTGTTTTGTGTCTCCGGAACATACAACTGAGTTGTAGTTAGACCACGTTAATCCATGCTTATTTTTATTCTCTTCTGCTTCAGATAAACAATCTTTAGTTGCGGCATGTTTTTTTCAAAGCCTTAGTTAAACTTTTATTGGATGTCACAGGAAAACCGATATCTTTGGATATGCCAAGCTTGGCGTTCTGTCTTATATACCATTGATCAAGAGAATAAATTAAGGGGAGAATTGTAATGGCACTTATGTTATCTTTATCTGAAATTGCAATGGTTTTTATCTTATGATCAATACTTTTCTTTTGGTAACCAAAAATAAGAGTGGCACGCAGAGGTTTTTTTTTCATATGTAGAGTATCCTTATGAAAATCAAGATTGTCGGCCGCAAAATAAACAAATTATTTTTCTAGAAATCCTGGTGGAATATACTCGCATATCCCGTCATTATCAGTAATTGTTTTTATGACGCTTTTGGCCATATCTGTTTTCATCATAATTTTCTTGTTGTAGTCGACCGATATCTCCAGAATTGATAAATTATCAACCGCAGCCTTACTTCGTATTTTTTTTACAAATAGCAAGACCCAACCCCGTCTGCAAAAGTAATTGACGTCTTTTTTGTACCTGGGTAGATGACTTGGATTTTAATTTATTTTTACTAGGACAGGTAAACGTTAGTATTTGTGAAAGCCTGGATGTATGGTTATCTATTTCTGTTAGCCCCTCCATAACAGAAATAATTTCACCTGTACCACAAAGACACCATTGAAAAAATACCGGAAATTCTTCAGAAATAAAATCACTATCATCGAAAGGACCTTGGAAAGTCCATTTTAGTGCAGACAAACACGACTTTCTTTAGTAACACATTTAAATTGATTATTTGGTTTTCACTTTCTTGTAAAGCCGCATCTACCGTAGTGTAACTCTTCCAAATTTATTTTTTCTTTTTGGGTGCAGAGATATCAGGAATTTCTTCTTGCAAAAATCATTTTAAATATTTACGAGACATAAGTTGCGTGGTTTCAATATCTATTTCATTAGATTCACATATATTTAGGTAGGTGGTATGCAGGGCAGCCATACAGCTTATATTTCCATTCCAGAGAAATGACTTTATAAAATTAAGAAAGAAAAATTAACAGATGATTCATCATTTTATTTAGTTACTTTAAGGTTAGTAACAAGAAAACATAGTGTGTTGGCATACAAATCTATCTGGCTCCCACAATTTTAATGTGATCAATTTAAATCTTAGTACTAAAAGAACCACTCCTTTCTCCACTCAGAGCGAAACCGGAGCCATTTTATCAAAAAGTCGAAATTTTTGCATTACTTGTGGATTTTTTTATGGTAAGAATTGCTTTTTGAAAGTATAATTCACATGAACTGCATTTTGTGGCAACTCCATCGGTAATAAAATAAACTTATCAATCTGAATTAGAATATTTTTATTGAAACATTAACGCAAACTAATTTAGTCTAAAAGTACTCATCATACCTGAAAGATGATGAACACTTGATTAGAAATTACCAAAGCAGAAAATGGTACTGACATTTGTTATCGTTAGGGACTCATCTTAATATTAAAAATATATTCTGCTTCTTTTTCAAATATCGTGACACACATGTCAAAAAAACCATTTCCTGGACATTTTTTATAGTCCGACTTTATTTACATTTTTGTAAATTACGACAACACCTTCAAAAAAGTTACCCATAGCTACAAGATACAATATTATGAGAAATTCTTCAAAACAGTAATTATGAGAGGTAGTATGATAAACTTTTTCGAACGATAGTAAAATGGTAGCCAATTACAAAAAATTATATGTTTTTTAAGCCTACAGTGCCCTGCAGTAAATCAATAACAATAATATTTTCGTAAAAAACAATTTTGGCTAGTATGGCATTTTTAATTAAACAGAGTTCAAAAAAACAATACTACTTGTTTTTAAGAACCATTCAGATTATTATTTTTTACATTTCCAACTTATAATTTCTTTAATCAAAATCGTGAAAGTATTTTCGTCAACATTACATCATTGTTCTATATATATTCAATACAGCAGGAGGTGGGCCTTGGGAGATTCCGTGCATACTTCCTTGGAAGTTAAACAACTTTGTTTGTTGCTTGCCGCCCCAGCGGAGTCTTATTTGTCTCGCGATTTGACGTAATGAAGTCTGAAGGAACGGTGATGGAACTGCAATAAACGAAGTGGAAAATGTCGGATAACGAGGTTTAGACAAGGTCGATACCATGCATGAAGTCTGGGGCTGCCACTTTCCATCGTATTATTACTACTAGAGAATCGTAGAAATTGGACTGAGTTGCGAAAATCGTTGGGAATTACAGAAGTTGGGACAAGCCGTTGGGGTTTATGGGGCCTGGTAGTGTTAGATACTACTGCTTCTTCAGTTTAAATGTATTAAAGAAAGACTGGAAATGTCAAATTCTAATGCAAAGTTTCATTCTTAAAGAGAAAATTACAAATTAAAAATTAATCCTCTAGCAACAAGTGATAAAATAGAACAGTGCCGTCGTTTTTCAAATTCACGCGAGTTTGTACCACAGTTTAGTAATTAGTTTAGTTAATTAGTTTTTTAACACGCTTTTATTAACTTGGTATGTACGTATTTATGTAACGGTATCTTTGAATGTAATTTTCACCTTCTTCAAAACGTCGGAACGATTTGAATCTTTGTACACTTATCAAGGACCGATAACAATGCAATAATTTATATAGTTTGTCCAATTATCCTGATTAACGGCCGTGCTCACATCTGAAGATCCAGATACTGGACTTATTTTTGTTACTCGTATCCAATTTTAGCAAAAGCCTTTTTGGAAGTACTTTATCAAAAACACGTACAAAATA